GGCCTACTAAATGCAACGTGCAATGTATGTAAACTTATGACTTAAAATGTCTTAAATGACTAAATTTAAGTCTTTTAAAGTTTTTAAATAATTTAAGTTTAACTTAAATGATTTAACTTAAACTTTAAACTTCAAATTAACAGAGTATGGCAAATAAAGTGTTTATTAAATGGAGGTCAGGTGTCTATCTTAATTATAATTATTAAATTATTAAATATTATGACACTATAATTCAGTGGTGTATTGGAGAGTACGCAGGCAACCTTTTAATTAATTAATTTTAAATAAGTGGTTTATCCTAAATAAAATGCAATGGGATCGGTGGATGTGCAATGAATAGTTTGAAAACCCCTGGTTCAGACTAACAGACGAGCTAGCTGTCTGTGCGCTGTGCTAATAACTTGGCATTTGCTCTTTTCGGTGCTGCCAGATGCATTTATATTGCATAAAAAAATAAAAAAGGTAATTCGGTAAAGCGCGCGATGCGCGCAGAAATAAGCGCACTATATGCATATGTCGAATTAAGTTCTCTTTTTCTTTAATCAAGACTTTTCCATTCAAGGAATTACAGTTATTAATAGCTTAGTCCTTATAAACGATCAGTTTATAAAATACACAATTTACGGATCAAGCCTAATGAAGAATAAGAAGAATATGCAACGCATTATGATCCTTGAATGATCAGAGCGCATTTATATAAACTATATATTTTATATAATACATAAATATTAAAAAACATTATACATTTAAAGTAATGGAACATTATATGTTATAAAATCTAAACTATTATTCAGGCTACAGGCTAAATAAAGGCGGCTTTTCGGGGCTGTTCAGCGCGTGTGTCAAAGAAAAGACAAGACACAATCTCTATAAAAACTTGTTTATTTACAATATCTAAAGGGATATAAAACATCTAACATGCATCTCCATTCTCAACGAGTTTCTGTGTTCTGCATCCTTCACAGACCGAGTTCTTATTCCGAGGTAATCTGTAAATATTCTCATTTGGTTCTGGCACATTCTTGATTAAAGGTGAAACTGACCGGCGCAACGGATGATTTGTCATATAGAGTAAATACAGTTATAATACAGGTAATGGCACTATGAATATTTCACTTTAATTTCATATTATTATTTATTATTATAACCAGTTTGTGTTTTGGCGCTGCATGCAGCGTATTGCGGATCTTATTTTGAAGCATTGCACTTCAAATGTTATTCCTTTTTATTTTTATTGTATTTTAAATATTTTTAATTATACAAAACAAAATTGGTTCTAAACAGATACATTTTCCTATAGGCTATGATGAAGTGTATATTTTTGTTCACACAGGTCCTATACAAAACTGTGTGGATGGATGATTTGTTTCTCCGTGAAAATCACTCATTTAATAAGCAAAACAGGCCAAAATGTTGTTTAGCTTGCGTCAAACTGGATGGACAATTTACAAATATATTGAATACAAAGGCTGGTTATTTTATGCAAAGATCCTACCTAGTAAGAAATGACTTTAGATAATGTAAATAAGCATCAAGTTTTTTTTTGAGATTGTGTGTCTAATTCAGTAGTGTAGTGCGTTCGCGTGGGTTTCCTCCGGGTGCTCCGGTTTCCCCCACAGTCCAAAGACATGCGGTACAGGTGAATTGGTTAGGCTAAATTGTCTGTAGTGTATAAGTGTGTGTGTGTGTGTGTGTGTGTGTGTGTGTGTGTGTGTGTGTGTGTGTGTGTGTGTGTGTGTGTGTGTGTGTGTATGTGTGGATGTTTCCCAGAGATGGGTTGTGGCTGGAAGGGCATCCGCTGCGTAAAAACTTGCTGGATAAGTTGGCGGTTCATTCCGCTGTGGCGACCCCAGATTAGTAAAGAGACTAAGCCGACAAGAAAATGAATGAATAATGTGCAATACTATTTTAAAATACTTATCACTAACCTTGTATGTGAAACAGCAGGGCCCGCTGTAGCACTTTCTCAAGTAGAGCAAATGTCAAATTATTAGCGCAACGCACATGCAGCGAGCTCATCTGTTTGTCGGAACTAGACACAATTTTTTATCAACTATAATATGTTTAATTAGTTAATTTGAAATTTATTTCATTATTCCAGCAATAATTGTTGAGAGAATGCGCTAGAAATATGCATTGCGGCTCACTTTATTGTACAGGCTTATTACACTAAAACATTTTTAGGTTCGGCTCTCGAATTAAGGTTATGAGTAAATGTTATTTAAAATATTTCGCAAAGCCTGCCAGGTAGCCTACAATAACAATAACAATACCAGCAAATTACAAAAAATAATAAGACAAGCCTACTTTGGTGTTGCAATAAAATAGTATTATTTATCAAATAAATAATTACAATATATAATTAAAATAGGAAGAAATAAAATAAAAACAAATGGTACCCTTTGTTTTTATAGCAGGGCCCAATGTGTTCTTATTCTGGTTCTGCTAACAACTATTAAAAAGAAAAAAAAGCTTAACAATAAAAAAACTAGTAAGTGATAATAATAATAATAATAATAATAATAATAATTATTATTATTATTATTATTATTATTATAAGCTTGCTCTGAAACAATCATACAAACCAGGTGCTGCTCGGAAATAGCTTTTTTTGCTCAGCAACAGGTGCACAGCAGCAAGAAGCTTGGCAGTAAACTATGACCTTATTTTAATGACAAATGTCTAAAAATACTGCTGATTTACGTGTTTATTTAATTTATACATACGCAATGAATGTAAGCCTGCTAAATGTGTGTGGTTCAAATGATAGAATATGTAAACTTTGTTTATATATATAATTAAATAATAATAATTAAAAGCCTGCGTGTAAGGCTTTTATTTTGAGGAACACGTCTCGAGCGCAGATTTGGTTGACCAATTAGAGGAAAGTGGGCGTTTCAGCACCGCCAACATGTGTAAAATGAATTTTAAAGTCGTTTATCCGTTTTCCTACCCTAAACCAAAAAACGAAAATCCAGCCAAAATCTCGTTTTTTCGTTTTCTCGTGAGCAAAAGAAAAACGAAAATACGGCCGTTTTCTCCATTTCCTTTATTCCGTTTAAAAATGGAAAACAAATGAACAAAACGTACACGGACCATTTTTTGACTCATTATTTCGTTTTGGTTTTGTGTTTGTTTTAATATTTCGTTTTAAGTTAATAAGCAGAATAACAGATGAGTTTCCGTTTTTTCTGCCTACAGAATAAACAGAAAAACAAAATATTCATCGTTTTTCTGATGTTTCGTTTTCCGTAATAAAAGGAATAATCAAATGAACGGATGATACACGGACCATATAAGCACTCACAGAAAAAACAGACGTTTAGCGAAAAAGCTGATTTTTAAGGGTCTGAAGTTTTGGTTTCAGATTCTTCGCTCCCAGCGAAAGCATCACTCGTTGAACAAATTCAAATGTGTTGCTCATAGTCTTTGGGTAGTCCAAATTCAGTGCATAAATCAAAGCAAACAGGAGACATACTGCATGTGGCAAAGTAGGGACATCGTCCATCACTACTTTTTCTTCCAGTATTATGGCCCGTTTTGCATCCACATTGAGGTCATTAGGACATCTGGCAGGCATGTCCTCACAGAAGATGGTCAGCAGGCCAACATCTACTCCACTGAAGTCAGCCTCTACATCCAAATCCTATGAATAAAGAAAGAAAAATAAGTTTAATATTTCATATTACACTAATAAAGCATATAGTGGCCAGGAGACCAAAAGCATAGGTGAAAAAAATTACACTTCAATGTACTTAATTTGGTAAGACATTAGTACATGAACCAATTACACTATTAATTGTAGCATATTAGCATAACTTTTAAAGTGATCATACAGGCAAAACTTATTTAAAACCCTTTTTTTCATAACTACTTTTTTCCCCCCAAGACTGACAATCCTCACCTGAACACTCCATGATACTATTTTATAGGAACTATCAGTTTTTTAAATGAAAGAAACACTGTAATGTAATAAAAAAAACTGCACAAGTGTTTTTTTTTTCTTCCAAAAAAATGAAGAACCAAAAAATGAATGCACTTGGTTTTACTAGATTAAAGCTGCCCAACACCCATATTTTTAATTTTTAAACCAACAGAAAACATACTGAACACCTGTGACATATTTTTAACAATTCATGACAACATATGAATTATACAAATAAATAACATTATAACATAATAAACCAAACTGCACTAAATGTGCTTTTGAAATGTCTTTGTTAAGTGTGCACGTGTTCGCTCAGGGTGGAAAGAGAAATAAAATGTTTTACTTGATGCACCAGGATTTTTTTTAGGATTTTGAACATTATTGAGCTAATATACACACATCATTACATGTCATTATTACAATTTTGAAATAACGGTTAACTATGATCTACATAATAATATGTCAATTTAAATTGAAAATGAAGCAGTCAGTCAAGTTTGCATTATTTAGTAAACCTATTTCCAATTTAATAATAAAAATTTTAAAGCAAATGAAGGTTTTATTATTGGCTTTTAGAGCAAGGGTGCAGCCATTTACAATACCACAGCGGGTGACTTCAGAGGGTTGGTTATCATTTTACGGAGCATCTTTTGACAGCATGGCTTTTTACATCCTAATCCAGTGTGTACTTCCAACAGAAATTATATTGCTTTCAAGGTATTACATGGCTATTTCACTTATTAGGAACTTAGTAGTATACTTATTATTATTTCACTTATTAGAATCTTCCTCTTTTTCAAAACAAGTATGTTCAAAAATTAAAGCAATGCATGCATTACCTCACTGGCCTATGAAGCAAACTAACCCTGTGATGTCACATACTGTGAATTTTGAAAGAAGGCAGCACTCTTGCTCCAAAAGCCATAATAAAACTTTCCTTTTACTTAAAAAATAATTACATTTGCTTTATTTTAGTTGTTTTATAAAAGGGGAAATTGATTTCAGTAAATAAAGTAAATTTGAATGATTGCCTCATTACCACTCTAAAAAGCAGAAACAATAATACTACTTACAAAACACATCCTGAAAAAATCTTCAGACTCATCCCCCAAAAGGACTGGAAGACCCTGAAGAACTGCGGAGCGGACAACTGTCACATCAGATGGCTATGAAAAAGTAAAGACAGGTAGACATGCATTAAAGCTCAACGAAAAAAATCAAATGGAAACGATGATTCAAAGATGATGTCAGGAAAAATACCTTAGAATAAACTTGTTGCAAAATCTCATCTAGTTTTTTTCCCTGATTTCCTCCTCTTTTTTTGAAAATTTCTATCAAGCGAGCTGAGTGTGTGTCTAATGCAGTGTAGAACTCCGATCTCAAATTTCTTCCCGAAATTCGACTGAATTCTGCAAAGATCTAATTAAAAACATTGAGTCAATATTAAGATTCAAAAACACAAATTTAAAAAATCATACTAAGTTTTGAAAAGAAAACAAACCTGACTTTCCAAAAAAAGTGCCGGCCACTTTTCCAAGATGTCACTGACAAGAGGTTCAGAGTGGACAATTTCTTTTCGTCTCAAGGCAAATGTACTGTCCATCTTTTGGCCAATCAAGCTCATGTTTAGAGGCCTCCTTTTCATTTCTTCTACAAGTTCTATTCTTGTACATTCTTGGCTTTCTTCATTTTCGCCATTAGGAAAGTTTGGCAAGAAATTCAACTCAGATCGTCTGGGTTTTTTGATGCCTTGATGCTTTGTTGCCTTCATGGCACCTCTCTTTTCCCCAATTGCAACATCACTACAGCCAGATTTACGCATTTTTGATTTAGCAACTTGGGTAAAATCCTCATCACTTGGATAGGCCCTAAATGTGTAAATGGCCCCAGCAAGCCCCTCCAGTATGTCATGTTTTATGTCTCTTCCAACGTCAGCAGTTGTACCATCTTTCATAAAAGCTAGGTTTCCCTGTCGTAGAAGATACTCAACATTAACCGAGAATTTAGGTATCTCATCTGGCCATACAATCTGTCGTTCAACAGACAACTGCTCTGATGTATCAGAACCTGAGAGAATTATGGTGTCAGCTTGACTTGAGGAAGGTGATGTGTCCAGAGGAATTATTTTCACCGTCGCTCTCTCTGGTAAGTCATTAATGTCACTGATATTGCATAATGCATTGTTAAAAAAAGGGTCTTCATACTGGAGGTTGAATGGGTATGCAAGTTGCAGTTTCTTCTGCAGCACTTGTTTTAAAGCATCAGCATCAGCATCAGCTGGTGTTTCCTCTAAGACAACCTTCCGGATGTCACTGTCGTGCACAATAACGCGAAGTGTCATGGACATGGCTAAGTGAAATTCTAAAACAAAGAAAGTAGAAATCAGAAACATGCAATGATACAATGCAGTTTAGCAACAGATGTAATACTTCAATGTGACATATAAACACCCTCGAATATTATAAGCTGCCAAAGGGAAGGGGTCATTCAGTTCAGAAGGCAGAACAACTTGAAGTGAATGCAAACTGCACAATTCATAAGAGCGCAAATGCTCAATGTACCATGCAGATTGTGGTTCGCAGAGAAACATTATCTCGGTGTTGACTGTTAAGATTTTCTCTATCTGCATGAACTCTGGCAAACCTGAACAAGACCCAACTGATAATACCATGTTTGGGCAGTACCTAATTCCATCAATGTAAACACTAGATGAAACTAGCACAGAGCTACAACTAGGACTCTGCAGATGTAGGTACTCTTGTACAGCTTCAGGAAAAGCTGTTAAAAGAGAACTAACCACCCTGTCCATTTGTATTTTTGGCTTGAAAAAAGAGCTGCCATCCATATGATAGGCAATTGCCATTTGATGCTTCTTGGCCAGCATTAGGGGACATTTTTGAAATTGTGTGCATCACGGATCACTTTCTTGAAGGACTTATGTTTCCCCTCAAATCTGATGGTCCATAAATTCCTCAGTGGTCCATATGTTCTAATCAATTGAGGATAATGCTCCAAGTAGTGATGCTTTGGGCGTAGTACAAAGTTTGGAAACACATCTTGAAGCAAAGCTCTGTGTTCTGAGATCTTAAAATTCAAGAACTCCACTGTGTCATCAGAAAACTAGCTAGAAAAAGCCAATTCAACAACATCTTTTAACAACATTACAATTTCCCAGGTATGATCATTCTCTTTCACTTTATGGCCAATCAAGAATGGGAGGAGCCTTAGGAGGGCCCAATTTTCATCGCCATTTCCCCCTATTGTTTGTTTGCTTTTGTATGATTTTGGAATTGGCTGTGGCTGGTCAGTCCTGTCTGAAAATTTGTATGGAAATTGTTTGATGGCATTATTTAAAGAATCCAGTGAAAAGTAATGCTTTCCAATTAAATCCTGCAAACACAATGCCAACTCCACAGGAACAATACCCTCTAAAAGATCATGTAACAGATCTGGGGGGTAGCCACCAATTGCATGAAAGTACTTCAAATTGTCACTCAATGGACAACTACTCTTTACACCATACTGTGCCACCAAAGTTCTATCCTGTAGAACATCCTGAATATGCTGTTGGTGCTTTTCTTTTGTCCTCATTTCAAAAGAGCCAGACCTAACTTCTTTGATTTGGATGTCATCTCTTGTGGCCAAGCAAAATCTACAAGGGAAATTCACCCTAAAACTCTCTTGAAAGCCTGCCAGCGAATGGGCACCAAGATTATCTGCCAAGACATGCAGAACAGATCCCCTTACGCATGATCCAAGCTGCTCAACATAGACTCCCTGCTCTTCAAGACATGTCAGGTCCTCAATTAATGGGCGTAGTATTTTTGAGTAGCCATGCTGCTTAACTACATCTGTTTTACACAGAAGAGCTAGCTGAATGGTGTGCAAAGATGATGTGTGTTTTGCTGGTAAGTTTGCAATAACCCAGTAGATAGCACACATTTTGTGTTTTTTTCGTGACGTTCCAAGTGGATTGGTCACTTCAAAATCATCTATATAGAGATTAAGGGATATTCGACAATCATCTGCAAAAAAATGAATTATCTCTATAATGCGTACCATCCCTGTAACTGCTGTATCCCTTCGCTCTCTCCCCTGAAGCCAGGACCTCTTCAAGAACTTCTGGTTTATTTAGCAATTTCTGCAACATTTGGATAATTGGGATATACACATAATACTGCTCATCTCTATCTACTTTGTACTCAACAGGGCTTACAACTGGATATTCTCTCATGAAGTATGATGCCCTCCTATTGGACGTTGAAAGAGGACCTCCTTCATTTGTACAATGTAGCAGCACATTGCTTTCAGTTACTGCCCTGACTAGCTTCTTCACAACTGTGCTGTCTACTTTATCATAGTGCTTCTCAACAGTTTGCTGTATTATATTATACAACAGTGGCTCAGACAATAAATGAATCTGATTCAACTGTTGTATAATTTCTTGTGTCGCATTTTCAGAAATATGCAAGATTGTTCGCATTTTGAGAAAAAGTGATGCTAAACTGTGTTCCAACTTTTGTTTTGTATCTTCCAAATTGACTTGTTCCTCTGCCATATTACATTCATCTTCACTGCCTGAGCTGTCATTAAGTGAATGAACTATATTTTCTTGTGTGTCACCAAATGCAGTACTTAACATAACCCCCAATTTAAAATCCTCATGGCAATGTTGCTGGTGTGCCTTACTTTTATGTGCATTAAAAGTGGAATACACATTTGTCTCAAATGAACAATCTTTAAAAGGACACTGAACTTTCTCACTATTCCTCAAATGAGTACGCAAATGGGCAAAATATTCTGACTCGCTGCACGGTTCTTTAAAATCACAAACATGGCATTTGTAAGAAACTAAAGCATGGCTAGAGTTACTTGATTGTGCACTTCTTTGTTAAGAATGATTTTTTGATAAATGTACTTTTAAAGCGTTAAAAGATTTTAAAGTACATGGACACTCAGTATGGAGACATGGTACTGGAGCAATTCGTGAATATGCTCCATGGCTTATGCGGTAGTGTTTAAAAAGTTGTGCCCTCTTTTCTGATGTGTATGAGCAAGACTTACATTTCCACTGCATATCCCAAACTGGTAGTCTGAAAAGAAAAAATTATATATATTAAGAGTGTAACGATATCACAAACCAAATATAATACCCACAATACGCATTACAATACTCTAATGGTGTGCTACAATCCTCTTTTGTTCCCCCACTGTCCATTGATGTGGATGAAGTCACAATTTTTTTCTTCATTCACATTTAATAAAACAGTACCTAGACTAATAGATGCATTTTGTTTTAAATATTTAACTTCAGTTAACTTTTACATTTATAAATTACTGTCTCAGGTACAAGTCTGTCATGACAGCATGTTTACACCTGCTATTAAGATTCGTTTTAATAGATTTTTAAAGTATACTGCACCATGGTTACACCCCTAGCTTAAAAAAAGAGCAAATAAACAATAAAATATAGTGCTTTAATTTTTATTGTTATGATCCTAATATAATTTTGTATATGTATATGATTAATATATTTAAAAAGATTTTTAAATTATCAATTATTTTAAATACATAAACACTGTAACTGTTTGAATGTATTTACCTTAAATTGCCAAAAATAAGTGAAACTTTGTTTAAAAGTGCAAACAAACAGGTTTGGTAAAATATATATATATATATATATATATATATATATATATATATATATATATATATATATATATATATATATATTCTTTGTTCTACGAGTTATACCATTTCATCACTATCCATCACACATTCTGTCGCATATCTGTTCATACTTCATATTTGTCATTACAGCAACATAAAAACACTCCATTAGGGTAACATAATGTTAACACTTGAATATTCCTTCACAAAAGGCATGAAGAAAGGACAAATAACACATAGAACCAAAAAAAATGTACGATTTTTACAATATACGACTTGTCTGTCCTTAAATCTCTCTCGTATTGTCATGAGCTTGACGTTAACTTTTACTATGGAATTAATATGGAATGTTAGCACAGCACCCTTTAGCCTTATGTATAAAATATATCTGCCTCATACGTGCCACGTATCGTAATCGCATCGCAATCCTAAATACTTACGACACTCACGGATCCCTTTTGAGCTGAAACTGTTTAAGTTGGTTTAAAAGCTTCGGCGATCGCAGAAAAAAAGCGACTGCTCTGTCTGGTAACGAGACGCTCGCTAATGGCGGACCAGAGCTGATCTCCTCAACTGCTTTCTGTAGGTTACCTGTTAATCCTTTTTAAAACACGCATATTTTCGTCACAACCAGCGTTGCTAACGTTCAACGGTAACTAATGTATTTTAATGAGGCCAAAAGGTTTCGTTTTCTTTTCTTAAAATGCAGACCTACCATTGTACTGTGTTAACGTTAACTTACATCTATTTGAATGGATTGCGCGCGCTCTCGCCCTCACAGTGCATCATTTGAAATAGCGCGGCCCGCTCTTTTAGAGCATAAAGCCCACTTAGCAAATCATAACAACAAGAGCATTTATTAATAGTTGTTAAAATGAACTAGCCAGCTGACAGCTGACACAGATATTAATCCGAAAATAGCTAATATAGTAAAGTAGACACTGCTGCAAATAACATGCAGTGGTTAAAAAGTTTAGTCACAACATAATGGGCTAAAAATTACAACAGTTCACAAAACAGCAAACAATACACAAAGTGCAGGGAGTTTACTGATAC